TTCAGACTTGTTATAGACAAATCTACATTATTTATACTTCTACCAACAGGAGAAGGTGGTTCCTTACAAGAAAGATCTTTACATACCATTTTGAAGTCTGATTTAGTAAAAGAGGAACAAGAAGAGAAGTATGGAGCATCAGAAAATAAATGAGGTAATTTGTAGACTAAAGATTTTAATATTATTATTGAAGTGATTGTATAGCTGTAATGATGTCTCTTTGGGTTCATTTGACTAGAACTGAATTATTGTTCAGATGTTTGTAGTCACTGTCTTAAGAAATTCACTACAACTTTAGTAAACTATTCTCTACATTTGATGTAGTTGTGGAAAAAATAAAAAAAATAAACCATTTAATGATAAAGTTGTTTTGATTCATGTTTGTAGTATTTTCACTAGTCTATTTGTCAAAGAATGTTCACAAATTGTTAGTGATTTATTGTATAAAGGAATAGTAAACCTGTAATAACCCAGAATTTACAGACAATGATAACCACTTGCTTAGATCAGAACTGATTCAAGTTTAATGACTAATTATAGAAATCAAACAACAGATTAGCTATGGATTATCTTTTTTCTTCTTTCCTTGCGAAAGTTTTCATGGGTGATTCAGAGAAGATATGGTTAGTGATGAAAATAATGCAGAATATGTGAAATATTGGTAGAGATATGATGATCATGTGATTAGTCTTGGTCAGGTTCCAAACATCAAATTGACAATTTTGTAACTCTTCGAAAATCATAAAGCAAATATATTAAAGTTTCTAGGGAATGCAGTGAAAAGAGAAACATTAATTTTTCTTGACTAAGATATCGGCATAAATAACGGCACACAATCCTATAAATTAATCAGAAAACCAACTTATAATGACAATGTCATATATACTTCTTCAAGACTTCCAATGTCTCGCAAACTAACATGGTTTGTTCACAGGCTTTTCATTTTACTCTTTTCATCTGAATACTGAAAGTTAATCGAAAGTAACAAAACAAATTGTTGTAAATAATGGTTGTGCTTAAGTTAAGTGACAAACTGTTGTTTAAAAAATCAACTTAAAATCAACATACCCACATACTGTACCAAATGACAATGGTGTAAGATAAGCTACCTTCTCACAAAATATATAACGGACTAAACAAAGACCAACCTTCTACCGTTGAAACAAAAATTAGAAAGTACAGTGTTTACTAATTAACATGTCAAGCCTGCAATAGTGTATATGTAGATCAGACAGTAGGTAAAGAACAATCAAGAAGTTGGAAATTGGGAAAATGGGTAAAACATTTGTATCACACGTTATAGAAATTACACATCAAATTCACCCAGAAGAAAAAAAGTCTCCAAACTTTTATATATCTGTGAAAAAAAGACAAATATCTAAATTTAGAAATAAATACAAGTAAAAATCAATCCAGACAAAGTTCTAAATGATAAAATCAAGTTAAGCTACCCCCACCTACTTCTCACCCTTCTCGTCTCGTGGTGTTTGTTAAAGTTACTTCCGGTTCCTTGTTAAACAAATATATATATATATATATATATATATACCTGTTCACAAGCTAGTTCACTCTCCACTTGATGATGCCTTTAATGGCGAAACCATGGTCATAATAAATGTAATATTTGTTCTGCTCAATTCTGTAACATTGAAATTTTAGA